TTAATTGAATTCGTAACTGAACTTAGACTTTAGACTTTAATACCAAGAGATAATACCAAGGTCGATTTTTCTCTTGCGTCCGGTGAGTTACCGACTGTTTTCCTGAGCTGTCGTCTCTCTGATTAATTGAATTCGTAACTGAACTTAGACTTTTGACTTTAATACCAAGAGATAATGCCAAGGTCGATTTTTCTCTTGTGTCCGGTGAATTACCGACTGTTTACCTGAGCTGTCGTCTCTCTGATTAATTGACTTCAATTAACGTTCGATTTTTTCTCAAGGCATAAAGGGGCTTGGCAACAAGTTGCGGACATGGAAAAACAAAAAATGAAAATAAAAGCTACAGTTTGCCCAAGATAATATAAACTCTTTCTTTGTGCTCAGAGCAAAAGGTGAACAACTGAAAACAGCAGGGACTTGGCGAAAAACAGCAAAACCCTTATGCAATTCTGAATGACTATCGACCTTCGAGCGAGAATTTCTCAAAAAGTGAACAAAACGCGACAAATTAAACTGAAACATTTCGCTTCTTAATTCCTTTTATTGAAGTCATCAATCTTTACTGTTGTGTCTCACTGTCCATCAGTCTGAAAATGAAAAGAACATTTAATTTCCAGAAGGATTTTTGGTAAAAAAAAAAGGGATGAATCAACGTTGACATTTTTATGTTTCGAAGCGCTACTTTACCTCACATCAGGAAAACGGCCAGTACATCAGCAACTCCTACATTGTCTGGTGATATTGAGAAAACATATGTATTAGTTCAGAAACTGGTTTTGGGTTGATTATTTCAAAGTTTTAATTTTTTTAAGTGTTTGTTTTCTCAGAACAGTTTCGGTGTCTTCAGAGACCAACAATTTGAGGAAAACGGGGAGACTCAAAAGGGACAGAGATACAAAGCATTCCTTAGCAGTAGGGACCATTTTTGCAAGCGAGGTGGACAGCAACGCCGAGGAAAACCTCGATTAAAAATGAATTTATATTTTTGGCAAGAATTTCGCGAATGGCTGGATTTGTTTACCGTCTCTTACAGCGACACACGCCAACTTCAACATAACGTAGGTCAAAAAGCGCTGAGTTCCAACTGGAAACTTGAATAATCTGCCGTCGAGATTTCTGTCCCTAGACCTTAGACGCATATTTTGGTGATTTCACGTTGCTGTTTTCCAGAGAAATGCTAGGAAATGTACAAAGTTTTAAAACGAACTAGCTGAACAATTGTTCTGCCTAATAAATCTGTTGTTTTTCATACATCCTCGTTGCCGTCGCAGTCGTGGTTTGCTTAAGATCCTTAAAGACAGGCAATGACGAAAATACTTAAGAGGTGAACGAGTGATTGTTACTCTAAGTTATCAGCCATCTTTAACTGTTGCTCAAAAATTTTCTCTTATCCGGAAACAGATCTATTTTCTTATGATGATTTCCTACGGTAGGTAAAAACGTCCTCCGTTACTTATTCAGGATCGAAAAGAAATTACACTGCGCAAATTTTGATTGCTAATTATAGCAGTACGCAGGACGCGTATCAGATATGAAGCTACTGATGGCCTGACTTTGAGGCTCATTGTGAAAGAACATTAGAGCGCGGAATCCTAAGGTCTGGTTTTCGATTTCTCGTAGTGGACTCAAGAAATTTTTTCTTTCGTTCCATACTCGTGACAAGAGGAGAAAAAATTTTCTTGAAAGTATTTGTTTGGTATCGTAATGACCTTGTACGGGTTACTACTATGGATGTTATAGACTCATAAGATATCAACCAATCCATGACCATTAAGGGAACACACATTCCTTTTATCACCTGAGGAGTTAAGCTGAAAATGAATATTGCAAGAATTCTATTTTTCCATTTTTGGTCCCTCGTTTTTAAGCTTCTTCATACGAACACAATCAAGTTGATCAGATCTGTTTTCGCGATCTCATCGTACAAAAATGTTCGGCAATGTTTCTGTGCTTGTAAACGCGCCGTCCATGACGCCTTAAAGTTCTAATATAAATCTTCTGGCCCCACACAGAGGTCAAACGTCTGCGCGAACGTTGTAATGGCGACATGGTGTGCATGCTTTAGGCTGTTGGAGCCAAGTTGTCTTACAGGAGTTATACTAATTCGCACAAGCCATTAAATCACGTTGTTTTCATTAAAACCGTATGACTCTTTTGATAAAGCTCAAAAGAAAAACCTTCATCAACAGGAAACCCGTAATTAGATAACCTTTGTGTTTGAAATGTCTCCAGTTTCTGGGCTCCTCTGAAAAAGTCACATGATCAGACAAGCTAAAAAAAAATCAATAAATGAATGACTTTGGAGTCCTTACTTTTAACATTCCAATCAGTATACGTAGATAGTTTGCTGTACAAGACTCTTTTGGTGTGGTCAGCATTGGTTTCCCACGAGCACCACACGCCAGCTGTTACCAGCCATCCAGCATCCACCCCACACCCGCCATAGTTCCGGTTAATGAAAAAGCTCCGACAATTTCCGCCACTGCATCCTCCCTGAATTGAAAAGTAGTTCCTTCGTTCGCTCTTGATATCAGTCCACGAGGAGGAAACAAGTTTATCCACGGAGAACCAATTCAGTTTGTCCGTTCCAACTGCGTTAAAAAGGAGTTCCTTTTGACTGGCTGCACCTGTGTACAGGACCACTTTTGCCTGAATAAATGGATGAATGAAATAGAATGAGGGAAATAAACGAGTGCATGACGTGAGTGAGCGAATGAATGAAATTGAATGAACAGATGTATGGAAGAGTTGATTGAATGAACCGGTGAATGAATGACCTTCTTCCAGTTCAGAATTGAAAAAAAAAAAAAAAAAAGAACACTTTTAAAACTGCAAATGAAAAACTTGACTAAAATGCTATCTGAGGGGGGCAAATCGAATTCATCATTCCACAGGTGGAACGAAGTTTAAGTTTCAAAAAATACATAATGATAATTCTCAAAAAAATCATTTAGGGGTTAAGAGTACTTGATTAATTGAAATGTCAAAATAAATAAAAGTTTTAGCGAAA